CCTTAGAACATGCTTAAACAAACTCATGGTCATCAACTTTTTTTTAAATCCCATGAGAAAGCTGGCTAAGTGGAATCTTGCAAAGTGCGCCAATCATGTTTAGAAATAAATTGTCCATTTGCAGTCCTCTTAGGGCTGTTATCCCATGCATATTCACTTAATAATCCCTATTTAACTTAAGGGGGCTTTCTTCCACATAAATGTTTGTGTGATTGGGTTGCAATCCTACATATACCTACAAGTGTGTAAGTGTCATTGAACAAAAGTAGGTAGGACTTCTGCATTTTTCATATTTTGGACTGAAAACATTAGGTGTTGCTGCCCTGGATAAATTTTTGTTAGATCATGTCTGTAAAATGGCCAACATGGTGAAAACATTTTCAAGAACATTCCCTACATGTACCATACCTGGTTTTTGATCAACGAAAGGACTCCATCGAAAATCTTTATGTATTTTCTCTGTTCATCCAGGAAGAAGATGGATTGCCAATTGCCATGGTAACATCTTCATGGAAGAATAGGTCAAGTTTTTATCAATAGTTGTCAGGCTTATGCTGTTAGGTTTTTGCTTAGAAGGCGACTCTGGGCTAAAAAGCAGACGGCTGCATTTTGGAATTAAAGATAATCTGATCAGTGGGTAAATTAGTACCAGTGAGTAAGCAAGATTGAATCGATAAAAGAACTAGGTTTACACAGAGGCCCATGTCAGGGTTTAATGAGGAAAATCAGGATTGATTTACAGCAGGAAATGTAAATGAAATATGGAAATTAATTCTCCTGTGCTTTCTATCTGCATAAAAGCCAGGCATAATAAATGAAACCAAAGAGATACAAAATTCTCTGTGTAGAGAAATGGTTCAGGAAAATATTAGCATATTGTTTTAAGCAAATGAGGTCACATTTAGTGATATTAACATTAATTAAATGTTATATAGTTCCAATAAATTATGGACACACTCCAAAGAGACTAAATTTAAAGCCCTTTGGAATGAATTAAGTATATGGTTAATTTTGCAAGAATAAGTCAGTGGGCACAATCCACCAGGACATTTTCATGTGAAGCAGCAATTCATGAGAGCAAACTCAGAAATCTGGAAGGGACGGGAGAAGAAGCTTGTAAACATGTATGCTCCCAAAAGCCATTTGCAGAATGTGTAAAAGAACATTTCATTAAAGGCTTTTTGCTAATATTATTTATAATGTGCAATGCCTCATTTCAGACATTGTTTTTTATTTTACAGCTAGGCAAGTATGCTGACTGAGGATAATGGGAATTGTAGCACAACACGTTTAGAGAACATCAGGTGGGGGAAGTTGGTGTGACACTTGGGGATGTCAAAAAAAATCCTCAAGAGATTTAAATGAGTTTGGATTTCTGTTAATCCAACCAACAGATTCCACAGCAGACTAGCTTTTCCTAAGTTGCATGGATTTCACATTCATGGACCATTTTTTTCCTGTTTTGCAGGGTGGAGGCAGGGAGAAGGTAAGGGTGTTGTATCATTTTAGAGTGAATCAATGATGGGCTCAGGGAACATTGTGGACTGAAGTTACCTTTTTGTTTTGAGGATCAATGGTGGGGTGCATCGTCTGCATGGAAAAGGTCCCAAGTGCAGTCTCCAAAGCATCTCTGTGTCAGGATAGGAAAATGCTTTCCTGAATTGCTAGAAAGCTGCTGCCAGTCAGTGTTGACAATATTGGGCCATGTGGCCCAAGGATTTGACTCTGTGTAAGACAGCTTCCTATTTATGAAATGACCAGGCGTGTTAAGAGTTATCCTGCATATTCGAGCTAGTTGCATAATCAATCATTACAGGATCCATTGCAACAACACCAAGAAGTGAACTTGCCCTGGTTTTCTAAACTTGCCTTTGCAGATCAGAACGATAAATGTAGCGCAAATGATGCTGGTTTCAGGTTTTTAAAGATCTTTGGTCAAGGCTTCTTCAACCACTTTTTCCATGGGCCTTTCATCTTGCTGCATTGCCCCCAGCTGCTACTGCTCGTCATTCTTTTTTTCATCGCTGCCAATGCCTGGTTGTTTGTCAGGCAAAGCACCATTGCAAAGGGAGGCAGAAGCATCTGCCTGCTGGACCTGGTTAAGAGACAGATGAAGAGCAGGCTGCGATGGTGAAAAGGAGGAGCAACTTCAGTGGACCTTTACCAGTGGGCTTCTGCTAGGGCACGGTCCACTGGCAGGTGCCCAGCCATGCCTAACCTTGACGACAATTATAGGTAGAGAACACACTCATCTTCATGTTTGTTGCCAAGATGCAAAGGAGGCTTCCTGGAGGAGAAGTGGAGGCTGGATTAGTGTGCTTAACTCTGCTCCTCTCCTCTGCATTTCCTGTGCCTTCTCCCAGGTATTTTCCTCCCTTTCAGGGACAGATGTTTTAGTTAATTGTGGGGAAAGCAGCTAGGGAGGAGGACTGCAGAAAGAAACAGCAAGCAGAGAAGAATCTCAGCACATTTCTCCAACCTTTCACTTCTCTCCTGTACCTACACATATGCAAACATAGGCATTCACACAGTAATTCCAAAGGGAACTCTATACTTTTACTGTCCCCCTCTTTATTAGAAGGAAATGTTTTTAAATCCTACTCAAATGTGTGGGCTTCACAGTTTTCAGTGCAACAGCCAGTTTTTAAAAAAATTGGATCATGAGAGCTTGTAGTCATCATCCATCTGTTTTTCATTGTTTTAGGACACAGCTGGTCAAGAAAGATATAGGACAATTACTACAGCCTACTATCGGGGTGCAATGGGCTTCATTTTAATGTATGACATCACCAACGAAGAGTCCTTCAATGCTGTGCAAGACTGGTAAGTGGCACATGGGACAGGTGTGAACTGGAAACACGTGTGTGTTGACTTGCCACCTGCATTGCTGTTGCTGCTGTGATTGGGAAACAGTGGAAACCACATGATGTTTCTCAAACTGGCTACATTGCTAATGTGAACGCTTTACACGGGATCTCTTTTTCTTTCCACACATGGTTAAGCTTCTCTGTACCACTTGTAAAGCTTCTACCATCTGCTACAGGCCAGCTCCCAGGACTGCCCCCCTGCTACCGTTGCAGAGGTTGCCAGTTTTGATGTGATTGGCCATGAAAACGTTTTGGTACGAGTCAAAATTATGCTTTTATTATTATGTGGAAGAAATTAGCTTCTTAAGATACTTGATACTTCTAGACCTAGGATACTGCAGGATCCTAGGGTTGGCCTACAAGGATACCTATGTGGTTTATTCCTGTTAAATAGCAAATACTAAATCAGTAAATAAGAAAAACCAGGGTCATTTAGCTGATAGGTGGGAGATTCAGGTGAGATAAAAAGAAGGACTTAATAGAATCATATAATAGTAGAGTTGGAGGGGGCCATGAAGGCCATCGAGTCCAACCACCTGCTGTTCCAGGATACCACATTACACCATCCCACTTCTTCACACAGCAGATAGTTACACCATGGAATTCACTTCCATAAGATGTAGTGAGGGCGACCAATCAGATGGTTTTGAAAGGGGAATTGGCCGATCATGATGGCTATTGGTTACCTCCAGGATCAGGGGCAGTATGCCTTGGTTTGCCAGGTGTGAGCAGGTTGGGTGGGATGGTGTGGTTGCATTCATATCCTGCATGTGGGATTGCTGTGGGCAGCTGGTTGCCTGTAAAAGCAGGATGTTGGATTACATGCATCCTTGCTGTGATCCAGCCAGGTTCCTCTTATCCCTTTAATGCAGAAGGACCTTAAGAATCTCTTGGAAGCAGCAAAAAGAATAGGAACATAAAAGCCCAGCAATACCTGTATCTCTTAGCTGGCTAAAGAAACCATGCAAACCAGCAGTAAATGAATAAGCAAGCCTGTTGTTTACATTATATATTTTTAATAGTATACCCTGCCCTATTAATAATGGATTAAATGGCAGCTGATTACATTTATTTGACACATCTGTGCCATTATGTCATGCAAGGCATTCTAAACTCACCTTCCTTCTGACCAGAGTCAGACTCTTCAGCTGGAGCAAAGTGGCTCCATCCTGTGTCTTGAGAACACACTGTGGAGCCAGAGCTGCTAATTGGGGAAGGGCCAGATTTTGTGAATGACTAGAATAAGAATGGCAAAACCTCAGCAGTTTTGTCTGTGTTTATTATGGTATTCCCTTAAAAAGCTAAAAGAACAAACAAAAAAATTGGTGTTGGATTATTGTTTACCACTCACTGCTGCAGCTGCTTTTACCTTTCCTTTACTTCTGCTCTTTGTCTTTGTAAAACAGGGGTAGGAAGTCTCTTCTTGCTCGAGGGGTGAATTCATTTGAAAGCTACATCAAATTGGTGGGCAGGGCATAGGCCAAAGGGGTGGGGGTAAACATACAAGTACAAAACCCCCAGCATGCTGTAGCTTAAAGCTTCCCATGCCAGTCACTAAACCTTAGGAGCAGCATCTCGGCCTCTATAATGGGGGAAACCACACAAAACAATGGGTAGTTGGAGGAGGGAATAGAAGCTTCTGGGGAATTCCAAAGGGGAAGAAAGGGATGCCAGGGAGCTGGATTGGCTTCTGGGTCCAAGGTTTCCCAGCTCTGCTATTAAAGCAGGAATGGGAGCATGCAGCCCTCTGGAAGCTGTTTGCTTGCAATGCTTGATAGGTGGGCCACAGGTTTCCCACACCAGCCATAAAAGCTCAGCAGCCCTTTCATGTTTCTCCAACCACCTCCACATGCCATATGCCCTGTTTTCTTCCACACCCAAATTAGTCACTCATCAGTTTTCTTCCATTTTTCCCTTTGCTGCCATTCCCAAAACCCAAGTTCTTCAGCAGAGCCTTAATCTTCCCTGGTCTCATGCTTGCTGAATCTCCTTAATCCTTCTGCAGCCTTCTTGGTGCCTGCTCCAAGGTCTAAGACTAGATTTGCTCTCTCTTGGCTGTCCTCCTGCCTGCAGCAAAGACCTTTTTATTCAAGCAAGCCTGTGCCTGTTGGATTGGATGCCATATTTCTTTTGCTATTGTTGTACTTTAATAGTATTTTGAATGCATTTGTTATTAATGTTTAATCAAGCTCCATTTATGATAGTAAACCTCCCTGAGTGCCATTTTTCCTGCTAGAAAAAGATCTTTGTTGATCTGTGAACCAAGGAGAGAATGGATGTAAGAAAATCCATACTTCCTTTGTTAGAAGGAGTAATATAAATTATCTCTTTCTCCTTCAGCCTTTCCCTTCTGTTTCTGCCATACCCATCTAATGCCGTTATAAGACCTCTGAGCAAGGACTGAACTATTTTATGTTCTGGACATGGCATTGCACACTGGGTGATGGATCCTCACAAAATTCAGCTGGCTGCTGTAATGTGCATATTTCTGAAATGAAGCTGAGAGGCAAGCGGAGGAGCTGTCCAGTAATTTAGCTCAAGAGCAGGCCTCACGCAAAAAACATGGAGTAGAAAATCTGCTGCCAATAACAGAGTGCAGACAGCAGATTTATTCTAGCAAGTGCTGTGTAAAAGCCAAACCCTTTTCAAGCTCCATCTGGCAGTTCATCAGGGAGAAAATTCCACTGCCTTCTGCTTTTAAAAGTCTCTTTTGCCAAACAGATAAACCAGTTTAGTATGCAAAGCAAAACAACTAAGCTTGGATCCAAACATATGAGCAAGTGGTATCATTTGTACATGTTTCAGGGTTCTCTTCACACTGTTTTTTAACAGCACTGATCCTAATAATACATAGCAGTCACTTAGCACTTAGCAGATGGAAAGGTCTGCTTCACACAAATGTTCCCATTCCTTATAATCGCATTGCATGGCAGCTCCATATTGCCATCCCTCTACTGCAGATGGTATTATTATGCTTCCAACTGAAACAAAATACTCCCATCTCTCACATCTACCCATAGCACAGAAGGGCAGACTGAGGCTGAGGAAAAGCAGTTTGTCAAGTGAGCACATGGCAAGCCAAGAGTCTAACCCAATATTCAAAGCCTTGAGCCTGTTACTTTCATTTTCTCCCACATTCAGTTTTGTAATTTCAAGTTCTTTTTACCCTGAATATGGAGCACTGTGCACATTTTGCACTTTCCAAAATCTGTTCAAGGCGGAACTGAAACAACATTCTCACCCATCCCTTCTTATTTATTATTCATTTATTTGTTTCAAACATTTGTATGCCACTCAAGTGTGCCACAGCACCTCTGGATGGCTCACAACATGAAATAAAAACACAACAAAAATATAATAAAACCATAATGCATTAAAAACAACAATAAAATACACCAACACATATAATACAAAGGTCTATGGCAAATAGTTATTAAAAGGTCTTTGTCTGGCACCAAAAAGAAAGTAAGGAAGGCACCAGGCGAATCTCCTTGGGGAAAGCATTCCAAGTATTCCTGCATTCACTCTTAATGCCTCTTCCGCCCAAGCCACTCCTGTCCATTTCTAGCAGATCACGCATGTGAGCAGCACTGAGCAATGTGTGCTTTAGTTCCAGCAAGGCCTTCCTCTTCTCTTGAGTTATTACCTTCTTCGTATCCCATCCTTCCTATGCTGGGAATAGATCGTGCTTTCAGCTCTGCTGCCTATCATTCATTGGCCATTCTGTCCCATTCATATTTTAATGTTTGCACTTTTGCTTTCCATTGATTATTTATAGAATGAACTCAAATGCTCCACTGCTATGTTGCAATGGCTAAGAGGAGCTATGCGAAGGCATCCTGCAGTGCAAAAGCTCTGGAGAACACAGTCATGACCCCTTCCAGCTGGTCCTTTGTGTTTTCTTTCTAGATTTATCACCATCACACACACACACAGCCAAGGTCTGCCTTCCCCAGCCCGGTACCATTTAGATCTGTTGGGCTGGAGCTGTGACTATCTCCAGCCAGCGTGGATAAAGGTAGCTGTAGTCCAAAATACCTGGAAGGCACCAGGTTGTAGAGGCTGATGTAGCACTGCAGGAGCTCAGGGGGCTCTTTAGATCAGGGCTCGGCCACCTTTTGGGACTGTAGGCATGTATGGCTGAGAAACTGTCCTGGGCACCATCACAAAATGGCCTCCATGGGAAGCATGGCAGGGGACAAGTAACCTGCCCAAAAAACTGACTAGATGACAGAGGTGGGGTCTGAGCCTCAGCATACTTATAAACTCCCATGAAGCCACAGTTTTCAGTGCCAAAAGAAACCGATTTTACAGTAAAATGCATGAGAAAAGAGGAAAGAAAGGAGAAACTTGGGTTCCAAGAAAGGTTCCCCTGATGCAAACTGGAGTCCATGCACACTGTAATCTGAGGGCTGTCACAGAGAAGTCCCTCCCCCTTTCCTCCTTTCCTTTCCCAGCCTACATTTTTGTGTATGCAGAATGTGATGGTCACTTTAGACATGGACTTGGTTTGACACAGTGACCAGTCATTGAAGTTTATTGTTGGTGGGTTTCCATGTCATGCAAACTCTGCCTCAGCAACCCATGAGGGGCTTATTTTTGAAAATGCCCCATGAAGAGAACCCACATGCTTTTCTTGGGCCTGTTTTTACCCAGTGTGTTGCTATATTGCCTGAACCCAGACGATTGATCCCACCGTGGGGAAAGACACACAGCTGGTGACTCTCCTGGCAAGACAAGTAGCCCTTGCTGCTCATCCTGGGTTTGCCCTGGCCACTGCCAGCTGCCTCACAAGTGCCCAAGCACTTCCAAGCTGGTTGGCAGTGGCTTCCCCCTTCTCTAGTATGAAGCTGAGCTGTTTTCAGCTTGCTGAGGCTGCCTTGTCCTTTTTTTTCTCTCTCTCTCCTCTTCCTGTTTCAGCAGCCCCAGCATCCCCTTCAAAGTGCCACAGCAGCA